GTCTTTTATTCCTCACAGAGCTTTTGTGAGGATCTTATAAGGTAATAAATATAAAAGCACTTTCAGAAAGCTTTCTTCAAGTGAAAGATCCTTATTAATGATATGAATTACCTTTAGACAAAAGTCCAACTGAATATATAAAACTAATATTTTACTCTTTAAAATCAATGGATCAAAGTTATATTAACTAATGAGAATAATGATTGCTAAACTTTTCATTTTTATAACTGACAAAGCACTTTTACTTTCATTTTCTGATATTCTCATTGAAAACCTCTGGTATTGGTACTATTATTATTTTTATTTTCAGTTGAGGAGGGTAAAATTAAAGAGGTTCAGTAATGTAGCTATTGCTCCTTCCTTGAAAATTAGCTAATGTGAGTTTTATCACAGCAGATTGGGGGGAAATAATTAAAAATAAAAGCCTATGAAATAAATGTTTAGTTTTCTGGGATGAATAATACAATGTATGCATCTAATTATTAGGGTAGATGTGATAATAACTCACTTTTTTAAAAGAAATATTACTGTGTGCCAGGCAATGTACTGGGTGCTTTGCTTGCATGACATATTATCATCCTAGCCTTCTTACAGATGAAGAAACTAAAGCTTTGAGAAGTTGGGTAACTTCTGCTAAGACCACACCACTATATACAGAGGAGTCAGTTCTTTGAACCTCGGTTTGACCTTTTGACCTTCAACTCACCTTACTCCCCTACCCATTCCTCTAAACTGACTCAGCCTTCCAGGCAAAGAGCCAACATAACCACAAGCAAGTCTCAAATAATTCACCTAATAGGAATTTGTGGATTAATGGAAACATTCATACTTTCTAAATATCCATCTTCCCTTTACCTTTTTCAGTCTAGTTTTGACATTGACCTCTCAACTGAAGCACTTCTCTATGAAACCACCATAACTTCCAAATTCAACTGCTTTCACCAAGTCTTTCCTGCCCTAGATATCTCTGCATTGATGGTGATTGTTGCCCACCACAGTTTTCGGGAAAATATCTCACCTTTTGACTTGCTGGGGTCTTGTCTTCTACTAATTTTCTCCTACCTCTCTACTCATTCTTCTTTGTTTACCTGAGGACCAATTCTGGGCTGTCATTTCTGCCTTCATTAATCTCATTCTCGTCATTCAATTGTCAGTAGTTACTAAGTGTCACTCATGTTGTAGGTATTAGACTAGCGACTGTCTTTTGCCCTCCTTTAATCCAATGATTTGAAGACTTTTTATCTCTTTCCTGTATCAGTCCCATGTTTCTTACTGTATGTGGGGCATTTCTTACTCAAATGTCTCACAGACATCATAAACTCGGTGTGACCCAAATGGGCCATATCTTGGATACCAGGTCTTTGCCTCCTGTCCCGCCATTCATCACACCACCATCTTTTCAGTCAGATTTCAAACCGAATAGTCCTTTCTACCTCTCTTCACTTGCCCCACTTTCTAGCTCATTTTCAGGATCAATTTTACCTCCCACCCCAAATCCTTTGCACCCATTGCTTTCTCTCCAGTTTCCTAACCACTGCTCGAATTCATGCTCCTAGGATCTTTTACGTCTCTCCACTCCTTTCTGCCCCCTTCATGGCCCCAGTCCAGCTTGCAGATTGCCATTTCAAATGAAGCTTCCTAAGGCATATCTTGGATTGTAAATAGATTAGAAATTCCATGCAGGGAGGGATTTTATCTACTTTATTCCCTCGTATATTCCCATTACCGAAGACAGTGCCCAGCACATGATAGGTGCTCAATAAATATTTGTCAAATGAATGAAAGAATATATGGTTTTTCTGTTGAAACACCTTTTATGACTTCTCAAACCCTTCAGAATATTCTGCACATGCCTTCACCTGGCCCTCCAGAATGGGCTCCCAATCTCAATTTCTAATCTTATCTCTTATTTTTCCTCTCCATGTACCCTCAACTCCTACTAAAATGCACAGCTAGCTAGCCTCCTTTGCTTCTTTTGATGACCTTGTTTCTTGTCTTAAGATTCCTTTTCCTCATCTCAGTTTACCCTGATGCTACCTACTTGTCAAAGAAAGCCATATTGAAATCCTGCCTTCTTCCATTAGCCCCCCAGCTGGAAAACATCTTGCCTTCCTCTCCATTTCCACAGGTATTTCTCTGTACTTTAAATGGAGTTTAGTGTTTTCTGTATTGTATCTGAGAGGCTGGAGAGGATAGTTTTTAATAGTGTGGGCTTTAAAGCCTGACTGCTTAGGTTTAATTCGTGATTCTGATACTCACTGACCATGGACACATTTCTTAATTGCCCTCAGTTTACACAGCTGTAAATCAGGGGTAATGATAATGTCTACCTCATCAGGTTGTTGTGAGGGTGATGCAAATTAATATATGTGAAGTGCATAAAACAGTATTTGACACATAGTAAGAAACCAGTTAAACATAGCTAGTATTATTATGTTATTACTATTTTCAGGTATCTACAGATATGTACACACCTGATTAATAGTAATAGCACTATATATAGAGATGCTTTATATATACATATATATTTTATAAATAAATTTGTGTATTGCTTATTTCACTATAGACTATGGGCACAATTCTTCATTTGATTTGAGTGAGAAACTACTTAATAAGAATGAATGAATGAATGAATGAATGAATGAAACTGAAATATTGGCACATGAGTGTTGGAACTCTGATTTTTAAAAAACAAAAACAAAAAGCCTTGTCTTGTCTAACCAAGAACAGACTAATAATCTTCGATAGATTTCAGTTCTTAAATGTCAATATTGACGTTTGAAAAATTAAATTCTTCAGGTACAAACAAACCTTAACACCCTCATTCTTGAAAATAAACATACTACACTGAAAATTAAAAAGAGATTTTATCTGTCATAATGCCCTCCTTGAAGGAAAAATATTAGCTTACATGCCCTTTTCTTTCAACCAAACACCAGGTGTTAAGATTCCCTGACATACACTTTAGTAAAAGCAGTTTGTTTCTTCCAGTCTGACCGACATTGGAAGCCACATCAATGGCTTATAGCTATGTTAATAAAATTAATAAAGTTGTTTTACTTTTTTATTTTTTTCAAAGATTTTTTATTCATTTGGGAGAGACAGAGCAAGCAAGAGCACAGCAGTGGGGAGGAGCAGAGGGAGAAGGAGAAGCAGCTTCCCTCTGAGCAGGGTTCCCAGTGTGGGGCTCGATCCCCGGACCCTGGGATCATGACCTGAGCTGAAGGTAAACGCTTAACTGACTAAGCCACTCAGGTGCCCTAATAAAGTTGTTTTAAATGTAACCTATGAGGCAGTAGCACTGAAGACAACAAGAAGGCTAGAACTCTTCACTTAACTTTCCTTGATCTCTGTCAGAACTTAGACAAGGTCTATGTAATTTCAGGCCTTCTTCTCCAAACAAGAATGGAAAAGGTCCAGCAAAGTCTGAGCGCAGAAAAAGTCAAAAGAATTTCATGTCACTTTCCCTCCTCCCTTCCTCCAACCTTGAAGGGTCTTTTTTGAGGGTTGGTGGTCTTTCAGAGGAGACTTTCTAGGCAAAATGATACTCCTTTATGTGGTGGGTAGCAGTGCACCCACTTCCAGTTGGAAAATTCTAAAAGCGTGAATTGGGATCAAATCTTGTATTTATAAATTTTTTTGGAAATGAACTTTGTTAGTGTCTCTTGTGCCTTTCATAATTCTGATAATAAAACATTTCAGGTATTAGTCAAAGATGAATAGTATCCAAAATAATTTAGGTGATCAGCATGTGATTTTCATTCCGCATGAGGTCCATTTGCAGTTTACATGGTTTTCTAAATTACATTAAAATAAGATGTCAAAAAGTTCACATCTTTTTTCATTTTTAACGGCATCAATCTTTGAAGAAAGGTTATTGAGCAAAGGTCTATGCATAAATCAGCCATTCCCCATAGAGGTAAAAGAAGCCATTACACCTGGTTATGAAAAAGACTTTCATGAATGCGAGAGAAACAAATCATTTCCCACTGGAGATCATATTAGTCGAGATGGAAGAATGTCTATTTCCTGATAGTGAGAAAGCCACAAATTACTTTTGTTTGCTCCTGCATCCGTGGTTGTCCTTGAGAGGTCTATTAGCAAGTTGACTCTTCGATATTATTATTATGACTTAAGAATGATCCGAGTCTTTATAAATGTAATCTTTAAATTCTCTCCAGATTTTCGTTTTTCCTCTGTAATTTCTGTTCACCTCTACCATATTTTAAAATATATTATTCCTTGGGAGTTACATCTATCCTTTGCTCTCAATTCAATAATTCAATATTGGATTCAATTCAAGGCTGTGGCCCCAAATAGAATGAGACCTGGATATTTATGAACTGCTTGACCAGACATTCTTCCCAATGATTTACTCCATAAATTTTATTTTTAGTTTTTACAGTAGTTTTGCAAATGGCTGGGTAACTGTTGTACATTGCACTTTTAAAACCTGGAATGAGTATAGATAGCATTTTTTATTGGCTGTGGGAAAGTGTCGACATTTTCTGTTTGGGAGTAAAAACCAATGGTCATTATTAGGAGGCAACCATTGAACTGATTAGACAACTCTAAATTCATTTCCCACCCATGACCTAAAAGAAATTTTTATATTCATGCAAGGTATACACTAGGAGAAACATACTTTTTGAGTGGATTCCCAAATATGACATCTGAGGTCAGCCACTGAGAAGTAGATCTGCCACAGATCAGCAAAGAGGTTTGAGGATCCAAAGGTTGATAAGAGCTGTACTTGACCCCAAGGAGGACTTGATACTGGAGGGACCAGGGGCAGGACAACAGAGAGATCTAGCCAAGGAGGTAAGGGATATAGTTCAGGTGAGTGCAGAGTCCCTTGGTCTCCCAGAGGAGGGGCACCTCCTGCATACCTTCTGGGGAGGACCAGGGGAGGTATTCTGGTGACCCTTTGCTACATAACAAATCAGCCCCAAACTTAAGGACTTCACACAGTTTTGCGCATTTTGCATGTGACTCTATAGTTCAAGCGAGGTCAGTGGGGACAGCTTGACTCTGCTCCTCATGATGTCAGCTGGGGCAGACCAACTGGCCCCTGGAGGATCTACATTGAAGTGGGCTCACCCACATGCCTGGCAAATGGGTGCTGGCTGTCAGTTCCTCTTCATGTGGGCCTCTCCAGGGGGCAGTTTGGGCTTTTTCACAGAAAAATCGCTGGGTCCCCAGAGCAGCCATCCCAAGGGACAAGAAGCTGAAGCTGCAGGTTTCTTAAGGCCTGGGCCAAAACCTAGCATAGTTTTGCATCTGTTGAGAGAGAGAGAGAGAGTGGGATTGGGAGGGGGTGCAGAGGGAGAGGGAGAGAGAGAACCTTAAGCAGGCTCAACACCCCGCATGGTGCCCGACGCAGGGCTTGATCTCACGACCCTGAGATCATGACTTGAGCTGAAATCAAGAGTCAGACACTTAACTGACTGAGCGACCCAGGCGCTCTTCCCCACCACTCCCCCCCCCCCACCTCCCGGCTGTCATATTCTTTTGGTCAAGCCAGCACAGAGCCCAGATTTAAGGGCATGGGACATGAACTCCACTTTTCCATGGGAAAGCATTAGAAAGTTTTGGGGCCATGTTATAAAGCTGCCACAAAAAGCCTCTTGTAAAAGATACTGAGCTGAATATTCAATAGCAAGTAGGCATTATCCAGGTCAAAGGAAGAGGTTCTCTTTGCCCAGAATACACTTTGTGTCCTGCTCTACCTGGCTAACTCCTACTTCAAGCCTGGGTCAACCCACCCTTCTCTCAGAAGCATTATCTGGCCTTGCTCCAGGGTAAAAAAATGGATATCTACCAATGTACTGCTGTTTTTAAAAAAATTAAGCTTCCCCCACACACACAACAGAACATATATCAAATAACTTCCCTTCTTACTTAAAAGCTATAAAATACTCATGGTAGTAACTATATAAAATAAAAATAAATCTAAAGTGCAGTAAAGTCTTTTTCAAATAGCAATGTAGATGCGTACATTTTTACTTCCCTATTTGCTTTCTCTACTCTTTGCCCCAAGGCACATTAATCACATGAGGTCTCGTGGACAGCAGTATGGACCAATTAATTTTTGGAATATACCTGTTAATAATCTCATCTGCATAGTTCTACTCACTAATCTGGGCACAAGGTAGCCTTCGGGAGGTCTTGGTTTCTCTGTTTAATCCATCTCTCCTATCATTCTCTTAGTGTGTCTGCCTCTGTCTGTCTGTCTCTCTCATTTCTCATTTCTTTTAGTTTTCAAGTGACTTTCAACTAGTCAGAAAATGCATTTCATGTCTCTGTGCCTGCCTCCAGGCTCTATCTATTTCACTCACTGAGGACTGTCCTTCCTGAATTCTTTCTCTCATTTAGCAGCCTCTGCCAATGCTGGACAAATGATAGGACCTCATTTCTTAAAGGGCCAGAACATTGGAGCAAGCACTTCAAAGGATTCAGCAAATCACAACATGAACTAATGTGGATAAATCTTGAAGGCAGTTCTAAGTTAAATAAGCAGGCACACAAGGATTAAAATTGTTTCATTCCACTTATGAGGTACCTGGCATAGTCACCTTCATAGAGACAGAGAGTCGAATAGTGGTTACCAGGGGCGGGGCTGGGGGTGAGGGGATTTGGGGCTTATTGTTTCATGGGTACACAGTTTCAGTTTGAAAAGATGAAAACATTCTGGAGATAGATGGTGATGATGGCTGTACAGCAATGTAAATGTACTTAATGCCACTGCATTGTACATTTAAACATGGTTAAAACAGTGAATTTTATGTACATTTAGTCACAATGAAAAAAGAAAAAAAAAACCATGACCTAACAGAGTGTTGAGGGACTTTTTATGGAAGTAATACATTATCAGAGAGATCCGGGTTCTGAGCCTGACCAGTAACCTGTGTGATCTTGGGGAAACTAGAGGCATTGGGATTCTAAGGTTTATCTGATGGAAAATGATGAAGCTAGACAAAAGAAATGTTTCTCCAAGTTCACATACAACCTGCACCATCTTTACTTGGAAAGTTTATTAAAAATGCAGTTTCGGAAGCTGTCTCTCCAGGTATGAGCCAGGGAATCTGCATATTTAAAGAGCCCCCAGGTGGTTCTTGTGCCCGTTTAAATTTGAGAACCACTGGACCAGATGCTTGCTTAAGGCCATTTCAGCTCTGAAGTTCGACAGATTTTGATTCTGCAGGGCAGATTCTCTGTGCTTATGCAGGAGAAGGAAATGAAGAAAAGACTAGACTTTCTGCTTGCGTTGGAGAATTTTTCATTTGATATCTTCATCTTCAATGCCTGACCAGTCAGGAATAGTATTGTTTATTCCTCCCACTGTTTTGGAGAGGCATGGTGAAAATGATAAGCCAGATGGTACCGAAGAAGATTTACATTACCATTTTCTTTCTTTTTCCCTTTGCATATTATATAAAACTGCCCATGCCTCCATGTGAGCCATGATCATTAATTTAATGTTATGATCTAATGGCTCATGACATTAAATTATAACTTAGCCCAACATGACCAAATTACAGTATTAGAAAGAAAGTTCCTTTTCTCAGGTTGATTTCTATACCTTAAACCAGTTGTATTATTTTTCATAATTATGTCTCAGCCTTGATTTAAGGAATGTTCTCTTTCATAGAAATGCATTTGTTAAACAGGACTTGGGTTATAATCGATTTCTCAAAAATACCCTCAAAAAAAGGAAAAAGAGATTTGCTTTGTTTTGGGCTGTGTGTGTGTGTATGTGTGTGTGTTTATGTTTACAGTACTGAAATAGATTCTGTCTGGGACTATATATAAGACAAACAGTGAAGGAGGGGCACCTGGGTGGCTCAGTCATTAAGCATCTGCCTTTGGCTCAGGTCATGATCTCAGGGTGCTGGAAACAAGCCCTGCGTTGGGCTCCCTGCTCAGCGGGGAGTCTGCTTCTCCCTCTCTTTCTGCTCCTCTCCCCTGCTCTCGCTCTCAAATAAATAAATAAATAAATAAATAAATAAAATCTTTTAAAAAAACTAAAGATAAACAGTGAAGGAGAACAGTCTGATCATTGTCACATACACTTGATGGTGAATGAATTATCTAAGTATTCTTAGAAAGGCATAACCCCTTCAGTTATATTTTACTAACCAATCAGTAAGACCCTAACCACATTTGTCTTGAAGAAATAGTTTTACACCTATAACTTTATGTTTAGTCTCCTTTTCCAAATGGGCTCAAAAAATAAAGTTTGTCATCCTCAGTTAATTCAAGAAGAAAATTTTATTCTGAACAAGTTCTTGTTGTTTTACTTGAGCTTTGTTCCTTGAATCTATTTTTTTGCACATAAAATATTTGGTGTTATGAATGTGATTAAAATTAAAAATAATTAATTGATTTAACAGAGAGAACAAACAAGAGTAATATACAAACCACACGCTTTCCTCTTTTTATAAAATCCGCCAAGCCACAGGAGAAAGACCTAGTAAAACAAAGGAAAAAGAAATATGGTGGAAAGTTCTGCTGCTGCTTTCACCAAATACAATACCAAGAAGTCTGAGACAGGTTGGGGTGGAATTTAGACTCGGTAAAACTCAAGCAATTTGACCTGCCATGTGAAAATCTCAAAATGAGTTTAGGTGGAAGCCTAGGAGTTGAAATCCAATAATATATGCAACAGTGATCACGCCAGAATTGCACATAGAAAGAAAATTAGTGCTCTAATGGAGAAGCCAAATTGAAATCCATTCTCTGAGCAGATTTTCAAACACATTCTTCTACTTTTCTGTTTACAAAATTGGAAAACAAGAATTCGTAAAGCAAGACACACACACACACACAAAAATTGGAATTCTAAGGGGAAAGATAGAACCCACAAGCGCGTGCGTGCACAGTGATGAGAGAGTAGCTTGCCTGCGAAGTGTATCTGACTGAGAAGTCCCTTTGCTGCAGGCCTTCTTACAGGAAGTGACTAATTCTCATGATGGGAGATATTTTATCTTAGATGGTATTGGAAAAGAAAATAAATTTACCCAAAATCCTTAAGGGCAATGTTGTATTATTATTCCCATATAATATGTTCTCTTCAAAAGATAACTCCAGAGCTGGGTAAGATAGGACTCGTGACTCAAATTGCATGCTCCGCTCCCTGGACTAGAAATTGCATCGATCTGTCTGTACTCATAGAACACAGCTAGAGAATTGCTCCAAATGAAAGATGTGTTTGAATTGTTTATACAAGACACTAAAAAAAAAGAAGAAGAAGATTATTTCTTAAATCTAGTAGCAGGTTCATCACTGATGAAATTAATAATAATAATACAGAGCAGTCATCAAGCACAGGGAAATGTATGGCAACATTTACACACTAAAGAAGTAAGTCAGAGATATCAATAAGTACACGGCATTCTTGTGTTCCGCAGTATATTATCTGCTTGAAAGAAACAGTTCTCTAGTTCTAGTAGACTACATAGTTCCTCTAGTTCTTCATCCTGTTCTGCAATCACAACCTTGATATTGCCTCCCTGTGGATGGAGTGTTACCTCCCAACCCCTGGCCTTAGGGCTAAGCCATGTGATTTGCTTTAGCAAACAATAGGTGAGCAGAAGTGATGGTGTGCAAGTTTGAAGCCTGGGCCTTAAGAGACCTTGCATGTTCCTGACTGTGCCTCTACCACATGTATAAGAAGAACATGCCCCATCTAGGCGGCTCATCTCAGAAAGAGGCTGAGAGGCATACAGCAGGACTGCGTAAGCCATGCACATCCCGGAGGATAGATGACTGTGCTTTAAAACCATATGCACCATTCAGCATTATTGTGACAATAGCTCATTGAAACAGCAAATAAACTGTTGCTCTTCCTGGATATCTGTTGAAAATTAATAATATCAGCCATCTTTGTGATGAAAACATAAAGCCTGTGTTTTTTGTTTTTTTTTTTAAAGATTTTATTTATTTATTTATTTGAGAGAGAGAATGAGAGATAGAGAGCACGAGAGGGAAGAGGGTCAGAGGGAGAAGCAGACTCCCCGCCGAGCAGGGAGCCCGATGCGGGACTCGATCCCGGGACTCCAGGATCACGACCTGAGCCGAAGGCAGTCGCTCAACCAACTGAGCCACCCAGGCGCCCATAAAGCCTGTGTTTTAATTTTAATGGTTCACTGTTGAATATTAATTTTTTAAAAATTAGATCTTCCCAGGGCGCCTGGGTGGCTCAGTCGGTGAAGCATCTGCCTTCAGCTCA